TTAGCACTGGATTCAAGAAATATATAGCAGAGCAAGAAGTTGATGATGATACATACAATGAGAATGGTCTTGCTCTGTTTCGCATTCAAGGGTCTGGTCCGGAAAATATGCAAGCTATACAAGTTGACCCGGTATATGTCATTTTCCCATTGCTCGTTGTTTAAAATCTTTTAGAAATCATTCAGAATTGAGAACCATTTTGAGGTCACAGATACATTTGGCTAGTTAAGACATAAATCTTCATGGCTTCTAATATATATTGTCGATTTACTTTCACAGGTTGCTTCATCACTGAACTCGTCATACTGTTACATACTACATAATGATTCTTCTGTCTTTACTTGGACTGGGAATCTAGCAACCTCAACTGACCAGGAACTCGTCGAGAGGCAGCTCGATCTTATTAAGGTAAGATAAGTTTCTTCTTAATTGTTATAGGGATAATGTGTCAACCAAAATATAATTAGTAAAAATCATCACCTGCTATGTTTTTTTTTGTACAGCCAAACCTACAGACTAGAGCACAAAAGGAAGGTTCAGAATCAGAACAGTTCTGGGAATTATTAGGAGGCAAAGCCGAATATTTGAGCCAAAAGCTCACAAAAGAACCCGAGAGTGACCCTCACTTGTTCTCCTGCACATTCACAAAAGGTACAGAAGATTATATAAAAAATTTCATGAAAGTTTAAGCCTAAGCTGATATATGCACACATTGACTCTGTTTTCCTTTTCTTTTCATTGCTGAAATGCAAATTAATCCAGAAATTCTGAAGGTGCGTGCGTAAACTTCCCAAATATCTCTTTATCTCTATAGGTTTATGCAATCATAATTGGAAAATTCTTTGGCATGCTGCTCAATCCCAAATTTTTCTTTTTTTTCTATTTTGTGATTTTTTGGCAGGTGACAGAGATATATAACTTCACACAGGATGACCTGATGACCGAAGATATATTTATCGTAGACTGTCACTCAGAGATCTTTGTATGGGTTGGCCAAGAAGTAGTCCCAAAGAACAAATTGCTAGCTTTAACTATTGGAGAGGTCAGATTTATTAGACACACCCTACCTTAAATCTTGAGAGAATTAGTCCCAAAAGATCCTGAAATTTTTAGGCAAGTTGTTCATTTGTACCTCTTTTGGTTTCCTTAGAAATTCATCGAGAAAGATTCTCTCCTGGAAAAGTTATCCCCTGAAGCTCCTATATATGTGATCATGGAAGGTGGTGAGCCAAGTTTCTTCACCCGGTTTTTCACTTCTTGGGATTCCTCAAAATCCGCTGTAAGTACGGAACTTCTTCAATTGGTTTCCCGAGAAATACTCAAAGAAAGAAACCCTTTAAACACTCTTCCTTTCTTTTCTTTTTTTGGCAGATGCATGGAAACTCATTCCAAAGAAAACTCAGAATTGTCAAAAACGGTGGAACTCCAGTTGCAGATGTAACGACTCTTCATGATTTTCCGTTTGGTTTGATGATTCTTCAAAGTAAGGTTTTAAAATTTTGTTTGTTCATTCTTCTCTTCTGTTGTGCCTTTGAATGATTAGAAACCAAAACGAAGAACTCCAGCTTCATATGGTGGCCGTGCCAGTGTTCCTGACAAGTCGCAGCAGCGTTCAAGAAGTATGTCGTTTAGTCCAGACAGGGTTCGAGTGAGAGGGAGATCTCCAGCGTTCAATGCACTCGCAGCAACATTTGAGAGTCAAAATGCAAGAAACCTCTCAACTCCTCCCCCAGTAGTTAGAAAACTCTACCCAAGATCTGTTACGCCTGATTCCTCAAAGTTTGCTCCCAAATCTTCAGCCATTGCTTCTCGTAGTGCCCTTTTCGAACAACAGTTAAAAACACCTCCCCAAGAACCTTCAATTCCAAAACCACTCAAAGGTACACTGTAAAAACATTTTCGCGTAAAGTCTCAATCTTTATCATCTTTATTTGGAGGTTCACTTTTTTGCAGATTGATCATTCGAAAGTTTCAAGCTTTTCTTATCTTGGTTTAGAGATTCACCTCTCTCTTTTTTCACTTTGAGTATTGACCTTTTGAACTTTATTGGACATGAAGCGAGCCCGAAGACACCTGACTCTCCAGCGCCGGAATCCAACTCAAAAGAAAATGACAAGGAGGAGAAATCGATGAGCAGCCGGATAGAATCTCTGACGATTCAAGAAGATGCTAAAGAAGGGGTCGAAGACGAAGAAGATCTACCAGCTTATCCATACGACCGTCTCAAGACAACTTCTGCTGATCCTATCTCAGACATTGATGTCACAAGGAGAGAGGTAAGTTCAAACCAACAAACGAATTTCATTTGTAAATGAGCAATTTTTCAATGAAAGATCTTTAAAATTCTTGGAATTTTGTTATAGGCTTATCTTTCATCAGAGGAGTTCAAAGAGAAATTTGGTATGACGAAAGAAGCTTTCTACAAGCTGCCTAAATGGAAACAAAACAAATTCAAGATGGCTGTTCAGCTCTTCTGAGAAATAATCCTTCTTCTTCTCCATCAAAAAGCTTTCCTAAAACCTGGTAACAGACGCGCAGAGTTGCGAATCACACTTAAAAACCTGTCCTTTCGACTGAGAAAATATAGTAATTTTTTTTCTTTTTGGTTTCAGCTACAAGAGGAGAAGATTCAAGGGACAGTGTCAGTGCATTTTAAGCTGCTTCTGTTCCCGATGAGAAGCTTAATAACATTTTTCATGGCTTGTTTACAAAAAACAACCCAGAGCAGTTTTCTTTTTGTCTATTTTTCCTTCTTTTTTCCTTCAAATCTTTCTTCTTTGTTTTCATCATCTGTTTGCTTGTTTCTCTGTATTTTCATCTCCATTTTTTTTCCTTTTAGTTTGATTGGCTGAGGTTAGATTTTTTGTTTTCTATATTTATTTTCATACTTTGGATTGGTTCTTCTTCGGGTCACAGGTTTTGGTCTCGAGTCTTTGATTTATTTATTCTTGTGGTTATTTGCTATCATATTGAGGAAATTTGGTTGCAAAAAAAAAAAGCTTTTTTTTTACTGCGATTTCATAAAACTTCATAGACTCTGCATTTCTTTTCTTTTCTTTTATTTTTTTTGTAGAATTTGAGGATTGTGTGTTATTCTGTTTTTGGTGTATAGCAAAAGTGTACAAACAAGACTTTGATCTGTTATATTAAGTGCTTTTTTTATTAACATCAGGCTTTTATATTTCACTAAATTCTCTCATAATTACAGAAATAGCGCTTGTTGGCTTAACTAAACTTTGTGCCTTAACTAAACTTTTTGTCTCACAATTAATTTAACTAAACTTTTTGTCTCACAATTAATTTAAAATGTAGGAAAATTTGTTTTAGAAATAAAGTTTTATTTATAACACCTTTCTGATTGTCACCAGAACAATTCCTAGTCTACCGAATGTTCCAGTCTCAAAATCTCAATCAATGTATAATTTTTTTTTTTGGTGGGGGAGAGGAAGTCTCCTCAATTTTATTAAAACTTAAAAACTTCAAACATAAACACTTCGAACAAAATCAACACCTCGAGCATCATCCGCCAGAATCGAAGCAACACAACTCGGCGGTGACTCTAACAAACTAAACCCAAACGGAATAGTAAATGCATAGTTTGCTAATCCGTCAGCCAGACGATTAGCCTCCCTATACACATGAGTGATACGGACTATCCAGTCCCTAGAGAAGAAACCATGGCACAGACGTACCAGGAAAGACAAGGGATGTTCGTTGCTAATCCCTGTCTTTAGAAAGCCCACCACAATCTCTGAGTCCACCTCCAGCTCCACTCGAGTAGCTCGTCTGTGCCAGGCGATATATAGACCGTAGTATACTCCCCACAGCTCTGCCATCAGCGCTGAACAGACCCCAATATTAAAAGCAAACCCCACTTGCCAACTCCCCTCTACATCTCGCAATACGCCCCCCGCGCTAGCTCTCCCCGGGTTCCCTCGCGATGCTCCATCAGTATTCAACTTTAACCAACCCTCATCCGGAACTCTCCAAGCTATCCTACGGTCCACTCTTGTTCCACCGCCTTGGCCCGCTCATTGTTTTGAGTTAGCATCAATCAATGTATAATTAAATACACTGTTCTTTATTCTACCATTACAGTAAAACCTCTATCAATTAATAATGTTGAGACCATAATATTTTATTAATTTATCGTGATATTAATTTATCTATAATTTATTTACAATAGATATTAATTTATAGAGAAAAACTGTTTTCCGCATATAATTTTCTAAAAATTTATTTAGAATAATGTTATATTTTAAAATTTTAACAAATCTCATAATATAAATTATGATTAAAAATCATAACTATCACAGTAAAATAATTTTCCACTATATTGGATTGTCCATATAAAAATATACATGTTCATAAGTTTAAAATTTATAAAAAAAAACTATGGCTACTATCAATATTATTGATGATAAATTGAAAATAATACTACAATACATTTACAAATATTTAAATGTAAGAAAATCAATTATCACATCAAAAAAATCATCATAAATTTTGAATGTATATAGTAAAACAGCAATAAAAGCTACTGATATCATAGTTAGAGAGATGAGAACCAATGAGATTTCAACTTTAACTAAAAACAAACACATTAGTCATATTTTAGAATATTAAATTTACATATATTTGCATAAAATTATATAATTATTAATTTATGTTTTTGTTGGGACTATATATTTACATAAAGGTTTCAAAAAAAATTATTATCTTATTATTTTATTGAGTTTGATGGATTTTTACATTGACCCGACTTGGGACCAGCAAAATTTATTAATTTATAGTAATTATTAATTTATCGAGTATTAATTTATAGAGGTTTTACTGTACTTAACATTGTATATGGTGAGTTGGATTGTATATACTGAACTTGATTGCCAAAGCATATACTGTAACTTGGTTAAAAGATTTTTTCTTTGCTATCCAATCAAATTTGAATGTCTAAAGAGCATTGAATATCGGTTGAGAGATTCTCTTGAAAGACTCGTAACAAGAAAATATATTTATTTCCTTCAATATATTAGAGATTACAAGAGTTGAATTTATTGTGGAATCCAGTCACAAACTAATCATGGCACAACGTAACCTGTGACATCAGGAACATAAACACATTAGGATCTTCTTTTGTATTTTTGGATAAATTACACATTATGATCTCCATGTTGCAAACGCAATTTTTGTTTTAACGTTTGTATTTACATGAAAAATATATATTGTAAAATATAACGCATTATCTAAGCTTTTCTAATCCATTTTGCAAAATGCAAACGTGATTCATCAAAAAAAGAAAAGGGAAAAGAAAAATGTAATCGAATAATCGTAATTCTAGTGAGACATTCCATTTTTACAAGATTAAAAAGCCATAAATTTAAAGAATGAAGCTAATTTAATTAAGAATAGACTTACTTCCACATTTGGTACCATGAGCGAGAGGCTTGCCACAAAAGGCAGTGACATGAACAACCTTATCCATGTCTATCATTTTCTGGACTGAAGATGTGACACGGCCACATGCACAACGTATGTCTGATCTCTTAACCACTCTGCAACATGCTGCGGACGGGTTTACCTTTGGGCCTGGACGCTGGACGTAGACCGCACATTCTCTCATCAGACCCTCGATGTCTCCTTGGCACGTTCCTTGCCCTGAAACTAGTAGTTTTCCTGAGATGATGAGGATCATTGTTAGACCAATCAAAACACGAGAACTTATCACCATTTTAGCTCAAAAGTTGTGAATGTGGCTTTGAGTTCTTGGTTGAAGAGACAGTGTTTATGGGCTTAGGGTTTATATAAACGGCCTAGGGGGTTTTTTGGTTTTGTGTAGCATCTAGCATGTGAGTATTTTGTTTTGTTTTTCATCTATACCTATTGGTTTCATGTGACCAAAGACTTGAAATTGTTTATTCCCGAGATTCTGATGATTTTCCTCGTAACTACAACTTCATGGCAGCCAATGCATGAACCTTTTTTATATGTGATGAAATCTACTAACTTACTAAGTAAGTTAGAAAAAAAAATACTAAGAGGTATTAGTGGTCCTAAAATGAAAAGGAAGAACCGAAGCGACAAATTGTGGGTTCCTAATTTGGTTCGATTTCTCAAAAGAAAAGTACAAATTACAGATCACTATCTCTCTTGAAAGAAAAAGAAATACTTTGAAAATCAAACTGAAATTTCATAAGTCTTTTTTTTTTTTTGGGTGGAATATGATAATAACATGCGAATTTAGTTTTAAAAAAAAATTTTAAATTCTGCAGGGTTGCCAATTGTGAATGATAACCGAAATATACAATGACAAAGTTGTGGACTCATAAACTTGCTATTAATTCTAATGGATGTAAAAGCTTGAATGAACTCCCATTACATAAATGATGCATTGCTTTGTTAAACTTGTAAAAGGCTTTTACTTGTATAAATTTATGGATGCTAAAACTTATAACTAAGTTTTTTTGTGTTAAGAAGGAAATGAGCGATAAATTATCTATATGAATGATTTTGGGCCGTAAGACATATGTTGGTTTTGAGCTTGTTCAAACATCTGAACATGGTAAAAACTATTAACCTACAAGAGATATTGGCAAAAGTAAGATTTGTTAAAATGTTTGCCAGCAAAATTATAGATAACAGACGCCTCGTACTGCAGCAAGCAAAATCATATGCTATATATATATATGTATTAGTTACCTCTCAAGGTCGAGAACAAAATTTGCATAAAGTTGGAATGACTTCTTATTCATATGCTCTTTGGGCACAAAGACATAAAAGAACTTAGCAAATTTTGACAAGCTTTTACAATGACATGAGAGTCTCAACGTGATTGGAAAAAGCATTTGAGGTTCGGAGAGGATAGTCCCCGAATCCATTCTGGCGCCTAAATTGGTAATCCGCAACTCCATCAACCACGACTCTTCTGAAGCTTACTGCCTTTGGGTCAAAATAAATAACATGAAACGGATTCACTAAAGCTGATGGTACATAAATAAACTCACCAGCAGCATTAACACCTTTTAAGGAAAACCGGGTTCTAGCTACTGGATCACGGCGAGAAAAAGGTAAAAGAAGATGTTTATACGACCACTTGTGTTTCTCTGCATCCTCCAGAGTCCACATAATGATATCATCACCACCATTTGAAATAACACAAATTAACTTTCCCTCGCAATGCAGGAGTTGACGTAAGCCACGAGTCAGATTCCATGGTACTTGCATCATACTCAACTTTTCAGATCTGACATGGAAGCTCACCAGAAACTGATTATCACGGTGATCATCAAGAGTGGGAGCGGCTAAATAATACAGAACCCCGTTAACGCATCGGGCTCCACGTCGGAAAGGGGCGTGTTCAGGGAGACCTTTGATGACTCTCCATCGAGCTCCTCCTTCTCCTCCTCCTCCCAGTGTAAGAGCCCGAGGCTGACGAGGACGACGACAAGGCATAGACAGTACTTTGTATGTACAATCGACCGGGTCGTATCCTACAAAGCTCACCCTGTCGTCGTCTCCCCAGCGACGTGCGGGTTTAGGTAAAGTTGAGAAGCGCCTCGTGGTTGGGTTCCAAACTTGAGGGTTTCCTGAGGGTTCCTCAACGCAGATCAAGCCATGGACTGACTCAGAGCTTAAAAAGTGATACTTTCCAGGACAGGGCATCGAATAACTGTCCACTACAGCTACATGGTTGTTCGAATTCAGATTATGCTTCTGTTGTTGTGGTAAGGAGAAAACGAACATGTTGCCCTTGTCTTTAAACAAGATTAGAAGACAGGGACTTTCAGAGGATCTAGCTGCGAACGACCTAATGAAACCTGGCTGGGTGGTTATGGAGGAGCAGAGCTTCGACACGCACCGAGACTGCACTATAGATTTCGAAGGCAGCCGTGAGAGTACCTCCCAGATTAGATCCGGTTCAAAGGATGTTCCTTTCGATCTTTTTTCCAGAAATTCTTTCTTCTCCGGATCTTGTTGCTCCCCCATCTTCAACGCCCGCTCAACCCTATCTTCTTCTCTCTGTTTTCCCAACCCGACGGCTGTTTCTCTCTCTCTCAATCCAAGACAAGAGTTTGTCTAGAGATTTAAGAGGGAGAAGGTGATTGGACAATCACTCGAAGTCTCTGCATAAAACGGAGGCTCCTGACTCGTCACGTCATGACGTCATTGACCCGGCGTAGTTTAGTCAAATTCCCAATTTTTAAAAATTGTCAAGTGAAAATTCCCAATTTTTAAAAATTATCAAGTGAACGCCTAAAAGCGTTAATTCCATTTCCCCGGCAAACGAAAGATCAAGCCTTTAGCGATATTTTTTCCCCTTTTACGGTAACTAATATTAGCAATACATCAAGGGATTCAATGATCTTCTGATAAATTGGAACTTCTTGGAGTGGGTAGTGATGGATGATGAGAGAAGCGTACTGTGTCGAGAGAACCAAGGTTTAGCGGATTATGTGTTGCAGAAGAAGCGAGAACACGCGGATAAGCCCAAGGGTTTGTCGGAAAATATGGGGAGGACATTTCTTAAGGCTTATAATAATGTCTGCGACTCCAAGGATCCCATTAGCTCACTCAAAGACTTGTCGCAGATCAAGTATGTTTCTTGCTTTCTCTTATGGTTTTTCGTTGTTAAGAAGAAATTTAGTTTTCTACTCTTCTTGCTGGGTTTTTGGTTTCTGGGTTCTTGTCTGAGGTGCCATTTTCACTTCTCTATGGAAAAGCTGTGACCTTTTTGTGTTTCTGGTTCGAAATCTTCGATTTTTCAGTATTGATTGATTTCGTGGAATGATTTTAGTAAGACCTTCCTCGGTAGATCATTTGTATACAGTTTTGGTTCCTGTAAATTTTGGTTTTGAGCTAAGGGTTTGTGTTTGATTTACCTGACGTTGAAGTCATGAAGATTGAAACTGTTCCAAGATTATAGAATCTGTTTGTGTCTTTGTTTCAGGGAAAATATTTGTTTAGTTTCCTAAGCCTTTTTTAAAAAAAAATTGCAAAATAGATCTAAGAGTGAGTGGTTTTAGTTTTTGGGGTGGCTATGCTTGTCTCCACACAAGTGTTTGATTCTTGATTTTTTGGGGTTGCTTTGATTTGTTGCATAGGGGCTTCGGCAAGTGTATGCTTAATCTCATGAAAGGATATTTTGATACCGGAGCTGGAAGTTCTGGTAATAGTGTCTGCTGTTTCTATTATCACATTTCTTCTCATGAATAAACCAATGTAATGTTTGTTTACGTAAGGTGATTCTTATTCTGTTCAGGGACTAAGGCCACAGGTAGAAAACGGTACATTCCGCAAATAAAGTCTGCGGGTTATGCGTTACTAATAACGCTGCACAGGTTATTTAGAATTTATTTTACTCACAGTGTACTCTTTCTTTTTCCCCTTAGTAATGTAAACCCTTCTTCAAGACTGTAATGTTTTTGTTTACCAGAGGGACTCCGAATGAGAAAGATTTCATGCGTAAACAAGAACTTATCGATGCTGCTGACTCAAGTGGGCTCTCACACGTTCCTATTGCGTATGAATCAATAATGTTCCCAATCTCAAATCTGTTTACTTTGTACCCTATCGTTGCTGTGTGTTTTTAGTCTTCAATTCTTGTTTGTGACCAGGCCAGAGAAAGGAAAAGGGAAAATAGGGCTTGGAATCTCTAAGAGGGAGTGGTACAGCGGATGGAGCTGCATGACAACACTTGCACAGAAGGGATTAGTGGTGAAATATAGCAACCCAGCAAAGTAAAAACTCTGCCTTGTGTATAATGTTTAGAGAAGTAGTCCTTACCCTAAGACATAGAATGAGTATTGATAGGTACAAGCTGACAGTTGAAGGCCGGGAAGTAGCAAATGAATGTATTATGCGATCTGGATTATCAAATTCACCTCCTGACATCTCATCCGATGATGATATAGATCTTGCACAGCCATATGCCGATCCAAAATCTAAGGCAGATTCACCAGGACCTACTAAAGCACAACCTTGTATGGTCTTTACTCTTTAGCAAGGATTTGATCTAATGTTTTTACTGCTGTGTCTGTTAAAAGCTGGATGTTCCACCTGACAAAGTCTTAGCTACAAATTTATAGGTTATATTGATCTTGAGGGATCTCCTGCTATGAAGTCTCGCTCTTGCAATGATGGAAACGCCTTTAATCCATGCTCATCCGGTTCTAGTCATGCTTTGAAAGCCTTCTCATCTTCTGTATGTAACCATTTGCGTTCATTAGATTGTTAGCTAAATCTCTATTACAATTTTCAGCAACTGGAATGCTAATCAGCACTATTTGTTCCTTATTGTTTCATGGTTACAAAGTCAGCTGCAGATGGAACCGGAGGAACTACAAATGTTCCACGGCTTCCTCCTCTTACATTTGGAGAAGCTTTTGAAGAAGCATATCAGGTGATCATGATACTGGATGATCGAGAACAGTTTGCCACTAAGGGGTTCGTGCAACAATTTAATATTCCTCTACTCTTTTGAGTTTTCTTATGGTTTAGTAATGATGGTGTGATAATACCCTATCTACGTTGTTTGTTGATAACACTTAAAGCTCCAAATCTTCTTGTTCACGTGATCCAGGAAAAAAGTTGAAAACATATGCTCTGAATTCAAGATCAAGATCGAGGTTTGCATTTGTTTCCTGGATAGATGTCATCAGATTCCAAAATTGCACAGATTAACTGGAAAGGTGGTATTGAACCTGTAGGTTAGACACTTACCAGTTGGGGATTGTATCTGGATTGCTCGTCATAACCGCCTTGGCACTGAATATGTTCTGGACTTTATTGTTGAGAGGAAGACCGTTGATGATCTGCGCTCATCGATCTCAGATAATCGCTACAAAGAGCAAAAACTTAGACTTCAGGTGTGTGTGTGTTCTCAACTTACTCTTTGTTTCGTTAATGGTTTGTTTCTCATTTCCTTCGTAAATTGCTATTCTAAGTAGAGATCGGGACTCAAGAAGCTGATATACATTCTTGAAGGGGATCCAAACCAGTCTGAAGCAGCAGGAAAGATTAAAACGGCGTAATGATTTCTTTTCTTTCTTCAGAAGATTATGAACCAAATATTTCTTTGATATTTTGGAACCAAGTTTTGATTTACCATCTATATATGGTTCTAGCTGTTTCACGACGGAGATTCTAGAGGGTTTTGATGTGCTGAGGACAAACGGGATTGGTGAGACGCTAAGAAAATACGGTTACCTCACTAAATCAATACACCAATACTACAAGTCAAGGGTGAATGATGACCAGAGCAAAGTCGCAGCCTTGTGTCCTTCTTTTGATAGTTTTGTCAAACGGTGTCAACAAGATCATGATGAAGTGACAATCAGCGATTTATTTGCCATTCAGCTTATGCAGGTACTGATCATGTTACTTGTTTCGGTTTGTCTATACTCTGGTTACGCGAGTTTATTTCGGTTTGATAAGCAGTGTGGATTTTCTCTGCAACTTTCCAAAACTTTTTATGGTGCGCAGGTCCCTCAGGTAACAGAAGAAATTGCCATAGCGGTTCTTGATATGTACCCAACACTTTCATCACTTGCTTCTGCCTATGCTAATCTAGTAAGAGATCTCGAAATCTTGCACTGCTTTAAGACGCAGTCTAATTTTCTTGTCTTTGAACTAACAACAATCTCTCTCTCTCTCTTCATTATGTTTTGAAGGAAGGGAATGTCTCGGCGCAAGAAGAGATGTTGAGGAATCGATGCAACAACGTAACCTGTGCAACTGCTAGTAAGAACATATTCAAGTTGGTTTGGGGTGAATGAGGATCTTCACCAATGTGTTCGACAATGATCTTTTTTGATTAACAAAAATCAATAATGTGACATATCAACAGTTCAACGCAAAAAGAGTGTTATGCAAGAATTAAGGGAAAAAATTACTAAATTTACCTTAACAAAAGCTTTAAACGACACAGAAATTCACACCGGCCTCGTGTTTATTTTTATTTTAAAAATAGATAATTGGATATGTAATGGACTATCAAACAAGTGAGAATTACTTTGTTACAACTTACAACTACAAGATATAAGATAAGCAAACATCAAATAAAATTTTAAAAATTTTAAATTTTTTTATATTTTAAAAAAAAATCCGAAATTTTTACTATATATATAAAAAAAAAGCCAAACTTTATTTTCCGCCCATTGGTGTATGATTCCTAATTCCATTTGGATTTGTTATTTATCTTTATTTTTGATATATAAACACACTCTTTTATTTTTGCTTTGCTTTTTCCAGAGCTAGGGTTTTCTTTATATCCTTAACATCTTTGAACTTGTTTGTTTTGTTTTAAAAATATATTTATTCATATTTATGTTATTTGAGGTTTTGTTGTGTGAATTATTCACAGATAAACGAAGCAATGAATCAACATAACGCCAATTCCAACAATTCAGCTACGCAGCAAGAGAGTTCAGTGATGAAACATCAAACCGGGTTAGCCATGTATTGGACGAATGAAGAACAAACAATTCTTATGAATTTACTTGCTACATGTTCGTTAAAAGATTCGATTTCACGTTACGCGAGAATCTCCCAAGAGCTTCCTAACAAAACCATAAGAGACGTAGCTATGCGTTGCAGATGGATGAATGGATTGGAAAGCGACCAAGCTGAGAATCCAAACTCTGATGATCCTTCTCAAGATGCGGACACCAATGAACTTCTTGAACATAACGAGCAATTGTTTACTCAGATTTCTGCAAATCTCATGTCATCTTCAAATCTGAAAAAGAACCTTCTGCTCCTGATGAGGTGCCGCGAAAATATCATGAAACTTCTCAACAAATCTAACAAAAATGTGCCGGAGCAGATGAAGGTTATGCCACCGTTGCCGGAGACATCTGATGATCTATATGATATAATCATGACTGCCTAACAAATTCTCTATGAATAACTCTTTTGTTAGATTTTTTTTAGAACCTTCTTTTAATTGTTTCCATTGGTTTTTCAATTTGTTAGGTTTATCTTGTTTATTTCTTTATTTTTTTTTAAAGAAAAAAAGTTATTTTGATCAAGAAAAAAAACTTTTATTAGTAAAAAAAGAAATAATGTTTATCCAATTCACGGAAAAAGTCTCTCGAATTTAATTACACCACAAAACTCTTGACTTTTTGATGATACGTGTCCCATCATGCGTCGACAAAAAAAAAAACAACAAACGAAACTCTCTCGCATTGTTCAGCTTAAGAAAGCTTTGAAGGCACGTCATCTTGGTTACTTGTTTGATTGAAGAGATGTCAGTCAGAGTCTTACACTCTTACTCTTATCATGTTCCCATATCTAATCTGAAACATTGACGTATAGTTCATGATGGGTTTATTGTTTTTTTTTTCCTTCTATGGTACAGCTAAAAGGTTATGCATGGTAGTGTTTGAGGGATGGATTATATCAAAATTCAAACATCATCGGATCCACTCGTAAAAGTAGTTTTTAAGTTATAGTAGTTGAAGTATTATTATCATTTTTTATAAATAGACACATTAGCACTTGAAAAAAATTTGATAGTACCTAGAGGTATAAAGTCTGAGTTAGTTATAGACTGGACTTTGCTAGCTAGAAGCTGGTACATATATGGTATAAGGTTGGACCAAAAAAAATCGAAATTGATCCATGTGTCTGAGATTCTAATTATACAAAAACAAAAAAAAAACAAATATCGAAATTGATCAGGAAATATCATATGAGACTGTCCTTTTTGAATAATTTGTCTACACGTAATTAATGTGATATGAATCTTCCGATTCTTCCCTGCCTACGCTTATGAAGTTTGCATAGTTAGAAGAATAGTTGATCGTTATAATGTGTTGTATGGATAATCACAAGTCAAAATATGGCTAACAGGTTTATTCTTTCTTTCTTTTTCTTATTTTTGGGTCAATGCAGGAAAGGCGAGTATACAGCGAAGTTGATGGAGACCGTCGTTTTCCTTTAATCATGGTTAGATGCCATGTGACTGATTAGAGTCGTCAAGGCTAAAAAATTCTTAATTTTTGTTGGTTGTATAATTTTAGAAGAGAACCAACAAAGCAATTTAATTTGACCCCCCAAAAAACAAAAACAGATGACAAAATATATGCTTTAAGACATAATTTTCTAAAATGTAAGCATAAAATCAACACAAAATAGGCAAAATCAAAATACAATTATAAGTTCAAACTTGAGACACTAAAATCAGAAGTATTCAACTTTATAACCAGCTGCATAAAAATACAACAATACAAAATACTTCCAAAATCCAATTTAATTTTATATCTTTAATGGTTTAATTGGGTTTTGTCACCATACGGGGTTTGCACCCTATAAATGATTTTAGTGAAGTATTCTGTATTCTACATAAACAAGAATTTGTTTTTTTTAAAACAAATTCAAATAAACAAGATAAAAATTAGTAAAGATGAAAAAGCGGAGACATCATAGTAAGAAAAAAAAACATCTTTAGATAAGCATTTCGGATGATACAAAAGGTACGTAAATGTGCAAGTTAACTAATTAGATGAGTCAACAGTTACTGCCACATCTCTCTAGTTGGGACGTCTTAACGAACACCCTAATGATTTAGGCTTTTAAGCTTGTCCTACTCTAATCGATTAATATATCTATACCATACGAGTTTTAGACTAAATTAAGTCATCAAGACAAAACTAATTGTTAACATATTGTCATCATGTAAATTGCAAAGGGAACTCTCACTAGTCATTGATGTAAGATCTCTTAACAAACTCTATGTTCCTATATTTTTCTATTATTGATCCAACTATTGTTTTTTTTTTGGTACTGTTATAATCCAGATTAGCATGAAAAGCTGCTTATGATGGTTATATTAATTCGCAGTTGGTAATAGAATGATATGCTCTATCCCTTTTGTTTTTTTTTTTTTTAATTTTTTAATCGTCATCCAAGGGAGGCATTAAAAAAGATTAAGAAATATCAACTCTATTATTGACAATATTACAGCATCAAGGAACATGTTCGTGACCGTGACGCCCGATTTATCAGTTATATAAATTTTATTACATTAATTTTGTTTAGCAAAAAAAACATTAATTTTGTTTCTGTCCGAACTATTAAAAATTCCAATAAGACAATTATAGATTACTTTAACGGAAAATAACATTAAATGTCAATTTGGAATAAGGTCTAGTACACTAAATATAAGTAGAAAATTTTATATTTTGTATGTCTAAATCAATATTATGCATAATATGTACGTACAAATAATTTGGACTTTTATACTATTCACTAACATTAATTTCCAGAATTAACCTCATATATAAATAAGCTTTGCATGCATGAAACCAAAATATGATGCTGGCGTTGGCGTAACAACACTTTTCGTGTCATGACCATATTTCAAATTTTCAAAGCCGTTGTAGATTTTAGAATAAAATTGAAATTTCTTTTTTTTTTTGCTAAACAAAATTGAAATTTCGATCAGAGCTAGTTATAAAAAAAAGGGCAGATTCATGAATAGCTTGAGAAAAATAATTTCACTCAAAGTAACAGACTTAATATGATATATATTTTTGAAATTTGAAAATAAAACAATGCTTTATAAATATGTTCGATACACTTTCAATATTCTCTTTGTATATGACTAAGGTATTGCAACTAGACTAGCTAAATTTCTAAGACATATTTTATACTTTATTTCAATAATTTCACAATATGAGTGAGCTAATTATGACAAGTCAACTTTTGATTACATTCCCTGTTGTAAAATTAAATTATAAGGTAGATGCATTTTAGTAAAAACAAATAAGATGAGTTCTTGTGCTTTGTCCCATTTCGATCTTGTTTAAGTAGTTGGTGAGAAGTGGTAACATGCGGTTGAGTTGTCAAAGGTAAGCATGCAAACATGACAATGAAACATATATACAAACACGCATTCATATTGATATCGTAGTGTATACATATATATGTAAGGATTATCCACATATACTGTACATTTTTTTATATATGTAACAAATTAATTTCCCGTTTCGTTGTTCTTTTATATTATTGCATCTATTTTCGACTAAATTCCAGACAAATTGTAAGAGGCCACAGCCTATACATCTTCAATCAATGTCTCGGTCAATATAGACCAGTAGATTACAGCCAATTTCTTGATTTACTTGATAATTAATTAGCACAAATATAGAAAGAAAGAAAGATTAAAATACTAACTCGGAGCCTCACCTTAGCCTCCTCTCAAATTGTCAATATCTAGATGGAGTGTTACATCTACATTCCTAACAGTTTCTCTTGCTTATTTTAATATATCTTTCAACACATCATCTTCAGAATAATCACTACGTACATCATTAGTATATTTAAATAGTACAAACTGTTCCATATAGCTTTCATTTAATTTAGTCTTTCTGTCTCCTATAAGAAGAGACTCCCTTCAAACTCAAAAACCAAAACAGTAAAATTATAATTAGCCATGGCCATGGAGAAGAAGACTAACCAAAGCATCTTCTACATATTTTCTCTTCTTCTTCTCTTTTCTTCATGTGTCTCTGCTCAGCTCCGGACAGGTTTCTACCGGAACTCATGCCCGAACGTTGAAAACATTGTCCGTAACGCCGTCCGTCAGAAATTCCAGCAGACTTTCGTCACGGCTCCGGCCACTCTCCGCCTCTTCTTCCACGATTGCTTCGTTCGCGTACGTATTAAAATTTTTATATATGTCAAACAAAAAAATTCATGTTCTTAACAAAGGTTTTGAATGTATAAGAATTGTGATCATATTTTCTTACGAATATTAAATTCAGTTTTGATTGATAATCTGCGCATGCAAAATCTCTGAATATTAAATTCATCTTTACGTACTTAATTTCTTATTTTATATGAATATATATAGGGATGTGATGCTTCCATATTGATAGCATCTCCATCGGAGAAAGATCATCCAGATGACGTATCATTGGCCGGAGATGGATTCGACACGGTGGCGAAGGCAAAGCAGGCAGTTGATAGCGATCCTAACTGCCGCAACAAAGTCTCATGTGCTGACATTTTGGCTCTCGCTACTCGTGAAGTCGTCGTTTTGGTATGAATATATAACTTTTCCTAGTAAACATTTATATTCATCTCTCTCTTAAATAAATTATATTAACATTAATGTCCGAGGTTTTGAACATTCGTTTTTTTATCTCATTACTATATATATCGTTTCGGGTGCAAAAGCTATATACCCACATCATTAGATATAAAAAGCATAATTCAAGTCTAAGAAACAATATATAATATTTTGTAGTAATAAAATGACACCTTCTATTGACGGTTTCTAATTATTTTATTTTTAAACAAGTACGTACAAGTAGCAACAGGTCAAATGGTCCGAATAAAAACGAATTATTGATGGATTATAATAATAATTATTGTCAGATGATTAAAAAATAAATACAAAATTGCAGACCGGAGGACCGAGCTACCCGGTGGAGCTAGGGAGGAGAGATGGCAGATTATCTACAAAGGCAAGCGTTCAACACAGTTTGCCTCAGCCCGGTTTTAACCTGAACCAGCTCAACACTATGTTCAACCGTCACGGTCTCTCTCAAACCGACATGATCGCTCTCTCAGGTACGTACCAAAACCTTACTAAACCGATTTCATTTTCGTTAATATTTGACCAAATCTGTATCATTTAATAAAAATGTTATTGTAAAATTCAGGAGCGCACACAATCGGATTCGCACACTGTGGGAAATTCTCGAAGCGAATTTACAATTTTAGCCCTAGAACCCGTATCGACCCGAGTTTAAACCGTGGGTACGCACTTCAGCTTCGACAGATGTGTCCGGTCCGGGTCGACCCAAGAATCGCGATCAACATGGACCCCACCACCCCACGTACTTTCGACAATGCTTACTTCAAGAATCTCCAACAAGG